TTATACATATATAATTTCTTTCAAATAAAATTATTCATATAAAATTAATTAATATAAAAATCACATTATTTATAAAAAAATATTTTTAATAAAAAAAAATTGATATTAGAAATCGATTCTTTTAAAGTTATGACTTTGCAGAGCACGATTTACTTGAACTATTCACGAGAGTTCAATATTTAATATGCTATCGAACTATTTTTAACCACTACGTTCCAATATTCCACAGCGCTTGGAATTTACGTTTCTTAGAGAATATCGATAGAAACTAAGACAGAAGTTTCCTTATATAAAAATAACAGGCCTGTGAATCATAACATAACATAGACCGATAAATTTAACACTGCTCCATTTAAACTCTAAAGATAAACAACTGACCAGCAATCCAGGTGCTTTATGTGGGCATGTGTGCCCCCTCCAGTCCTCTTCAGCCAAGATCAATAATCCTAACTGAAGGGAGACAGTGGATGTATTCAGTGAGAAGGGGTGCGTGAATCAAGTCATTCTATAGGTAAAGCCTGTTGCTGCTACCACATTTCAGAAGTTTGCAGAACGTGCTACATTAAACGCCACATTAATTGTCTGTCATAAGACTGATTATCAATTACAAGATTCAGTGATGTGCTGTGGATATACCGAGAGATTATGGATAAGCTGGCTAATTGGACTCATGGTTAGTTTTTATACCTTTAATTTTTAATATACGTAGGATGACGGCAAGTGCCATTTTTGTATATAAAACGCGATCAAATTTTCAACATACTGAAATAATAATACGCTAAATTAACAGCATGTTTCCTTTGTTGAATTGAAGCTTATTGGAAGCTATATCAATTCAAACAATAAATTATAATTTATGTAGAATAATGTAGTATACCATGTAAATTATATATATTATTATTTTGTATTATGTAAACTTTATGGAGTGATATTTTATTATGACGTATGTGTATGTATGTATATATATGTGTGTATATATGTACACACACACACACACACACACACACACACACACACACACACACACATATATATAGGTCATTCTGTTTTTAATTTTATATTTTTGTCATTAATTAGGTATAAACACAACAACCCAAGTCACAGGTCAGAACTGTGTATCAAATTCATCAAATTCTGCGTTCCTCTTAGACAAGTCGCTGGTCATTGCACCTTCATGGAGTGCTATACAACAAGACATAAGATGGGCGTTTCTATTACATGCATATAGCTTTGCATGTCTCTTCTTTGTATTAGGATTTTACACACTCTTCTCTATTCTAAATTTAAGGTACATTGCTATACCTGCATTGATGATATCAGTAAAAGCTTTATGTCTTTACTTAATTATTTGTCTTTCAGATCTCTCATATCAACCAGGCCATTTATGTCCACGATTAATATATTCTTATGTTTACTCGGGGCATCGAGAGCTGCTTCCTTGTTCATAGATGCGTACAATCTTAAAGAAATTCTGCCCAAAGTCATTGGTTCAATTATATGGGACATTGGATATCCATGTATTACATCTGCCTTTTGTCTGATACAATTGGCTTTCCTGCAACTGACAAAGGTATTAATCGCTTAAATTGAATAAGTTATGTATATAATTAAACGTTGCTATCCTTCATATGGGCCATTTTCAGCTAAAATTTGGTCCAGAGAAGATACAAAAAGAATCCTGCCTCAGCCTCATTATAACAGCACATTTCTTCTTCATTATCGCCAGCGACATTGTTCTGTCCTCCCATAATTGCTACATGGTGAAATACATGGTTCAAGCGGCGTTTCTCGTCTGGAGCGTTCTTTTATATCTCGCTTTCCTACACGCGGCTTACAAAATTGATCATTTGCTCCGAACTATGCCAAGTAGTATGTTGACACGGGACAATTCCAATGCCCATCAAAAAGGTTGGTTACCGATTTTTTACGTCAATATTTTGTACGTCAATTTTTGTAATTTTTATTCTAAAATTCTTATCTTTCATTATATAATTATGTTTTTATGTACATTTGAACTTAAAATTACCTCTTTTTTCATTATTTATACATATTTTATACAGTTTGTTTCGGAATTATATCATAAAAATTTACTTATAATACAGGTATCATGCAACTCGCGATGTTGGCACCGTATAGCAATCTGGCGACTTCGGTTGCTGCCGCGCTGGTACCTACTTTACTTGGCCCAGCTAAAATGAAAGGTCCAGAGGAAAGTGAGCCTGTAAATGCGAATAAAAATGCGGAAGGAGCACCTCCGGAAGGCGGTAATAGGAGGCAACAAATATTTTATCATAAATTATCCACCCAGAAATATACATATTTTTTATTGAGATCTGTTTTCAGAATCGCGAGCCACAATTACCACCAAGATATGCAAGATAGAAGGACCAGCGCAAAAGGAAGTACAGAATGTTACGATACCTATATGTACCGTACAATCACCGTCACAGGAACAAAAATCATCAGTACCGGAAGTCTACGTTAGACCACCCACTCCTACTCCGTCAACTGCTAATCTGCCGATTATAACTGTGTCCAGCCCGAGTCGTAGAAGCTCCATGACCAGTCGACGAGGCAGTGATACGTCCACAAAATCCTCGCGCAGAAGTTCGGAGTGTAGCGTTAGATTTGTAAATGAGGATAATACAACGGAATGTAAACGCACGACAGAGGGTAGCCCTAGGCCATTGCCAAGAATGCGAGAGGAGTTTGAAAGGAATCGCTCGCCAGAGAGTCCACGACGATACTCTGAGAATATCTCACCGACAGGCAGTACCAGGGAACTAAGACGATGCTCAGATTTTACTCACGAAAAGAATCGTGGCTCACAGTTTGCAATTAAGCTACGGAGGAATAGCGATTTTGGTAATAGAACGCCCAGAAGAATGTTGCCATCTGACGAACATTCTAGATTGCCCAAAGTCCTGGATGTTAGCCCCGCAGGTAAGAAAGAAATATGTAGCTCATATAAGAATAAATCTTTAAAAATATTCTAGTTTATATTTTCTTCTTTTAATATTATTGTTTTTTTTATTTTATCCTATTTTTATATTGTTTAACAATATTTCAGGTTCAAGACGCAATTCCGATATTGGTATATCACCCAGACCCGACTCGCGTAGAAATTCCGAGAGTTCCTATCGACGCAATTCCGAGTTTATTCACATTAAACCGTTAATTATAAATCGTCGAAGCAGTGATATCAGTATCAGAACTCTAGATAGAAGTCCCACACACTTTCAGAGTATAGTACCTATTAAGACTGAGGTGCAGGAGAAATCTGAATCAGATTCAGATCATCCTGATTGCAGCGAGAAGGCAGCGCTGATGACCGAAAAGTCCAAGAGCAAAGAAGAAGAACCAAAAGTACGCAAAAAAAATTTGTCGTGGAACGATAAAAATATTGAAGATGCGGAAGACATCACGCCAGAAACTAACTTACTTCCCGAAAATACGTCTAGTGAAGCAAGAGTTATGGTAATGCTTCCTATACCATTAAACTCATAGAAATGCAGATGCATCTAAACTAAGTCTTAGACTTTCGAATGACGTCCTTTTAAATGCCTAGAACTTTTGTGTCATTTGAGAACTGTATGATCTTGCTATTTCCAGAGTACGGATTTTACCCTTCATTCGATACTGAATCACATCGCGTATGTGAATCGAGCGAAATCTGATACACCACTACATATACCGGAAGCAGATACCGCAGTTGCCAGGAAATCTCAGATGCAAAAAGTATTAAATGTTACACGCGCTACTGCGATTTTAGGGATCCTTCTATGCGTTACGGATGCCTTTCGTATTTTTGGACCATATGGTATTTATAATAGTACAATAATAAATAACAAATAGAAATTATAATTTTATTTTTATATACTATGAAATATTCTTGTATAAAATAGTATTTATGTATAAAATAATGCTATTGATTCATTTAGGACTCTTTGCTGAAACCGTACCATACGGTACAGAACCAGCATCAACGCAGTTTCCCATGCCATGGCCATGGCTGTTGTACCAAACAATACCCAGGATATTCGAATTTCTGATGGGCTGCGCTATGGCGAATATAACTAAGCAGCCATCAGTAAGTCCACGACATCAATATCTGAGCAATTATCCTAGTTATTCCCCGCGCATAAATCGAGGTAATAACCCTTATATATAAAGCAATAGTTCACCTAAGTGTAATCATAATCCAAAAATCAAGATGCCAAATGAAAATTTTTATTAATTTTTTTTATCACAGGTCTTAATATTACTCTTTCAAGATAAATTATGTTTTGTAATGACTCCGTGATTGTTTTAAAGACAGATTTTACAGGCATATATATTACCTCTAGTATTCGCAAAAATTTATGTTCGCCGTTTTCCTTAAAGTGTGCTCACTAAAAGCTCACTTTTAACTGAAAAAAGAATTATTATAAAAAATTGAAGACTTATTTTCATACGTAGTTTTAATATGAATTGTGACAGTTTCTGTCGAAGAGATACATGCAATGCAAAGGCATTTTTGTAATCAATACATGATAAAAAAAGAAAGACGGAGTCTCTCGAAAAATTTGCTATGTACGAAAATATAGCAATAGATGAGCATAACATTCTAAACATGGAATAAATGTTTAAACAAACATCTAATATAAATGCAATAGTCACGTAGCATTTCTAAAAAACCACTTTTTATGCGAAGTGTTCATTCGATGCACATATTCACACACAAAAACAGATATCTATTTTTTAAATTAGATTAGTTTCCTGATGGATTAATTTAATGACTTTTACTATGTTCTCTGAAAGATACATATACATATATATATTTTTTTGCTGTTGAACAAATATATCTATATATATATATATATCATTTTTTAACTTACATATAAAATTTGAAAGAATATTTTCGAAGTAAAAAAAAAGAAAGAGAAAAGAAAAATAGACTGTATATAAACAAAGATGTTAAATTAGTAGGTGACTTTTATTGATAATACGCGTTTTTACTGTGTGTCAACCGCACCAATGCTTAGAAGTAAAAGTATGAATCCAAACTCTCAAAGTGCCCTACTACTAAATGTTCAACAAAATTACAACAATGACTTATCTGCAAGTTGAATTTGTAACAGTGTTGTGATCCTACATGTGATATCATATTTATGTGTTTAGAATAGGAGGCCATTTTACGCTTATGTAAGCTTAAATAACACTATATTCCGTGAGATAAAAAGACTGTAAAAGTGAGTTTATGATAAAAAAAAAACAGCTATATCATAGTTTTATTGCAATCATATACAATTTATCGTACTTTCAATGTCTTATATAATTAAGATAGGTATTTTATTATGTTGATGCACCTGTCAATAATTTTAATGTATGTGATATATTTTTAATTTTTATAGATTTACAGCTCATATCTTGTACATGGTACATGTGCATACTATGATATTTTATTTGTATTCGATATTAAATAGTATTAATATTTTTGTATCTTTTTTTACTTCTCTTTATTACAAGCTTACATATATATTCAATAATGTTGACTTTCTATTTATGTACTAATATTCTATTTATCTCTGTATAAAAGCAAATATAGAACAAATGAGAAATTTAGTAGTAATACTTACAGGAGCATAAAAGGTCTCAGCGAGTAAATATCTGTTTGAAATTTATAGTTTGACAAAAGTAGTACTCTGAAATATAACATTGATGTTTTATGTGCCAAATACTCGTGTTAACTATTTTAAATGTTTACAAGAGATACAAAGTCTTATTATCCTAAAACAAAAACTCTTCTACAAAACTATATATAGATATAGATAAATATTTATATACAATTGGATGTACAATAATAAACACTTCGTTTTAATCAAATCGATAAGGACTTTGAAATTATGATATATGAATATATATATAATTGATATTTTTAGTGATGCAAGATTCAATAGTTATAAAACAGATATAAGATGTATTACTAAAGTTTTCAATAGAAGCTCTCTATTGCTCAATAGAAAAGCTCTCTATTGTTCTATATATGAATTAAAAATGATTTCTCAACATGACTGTTTGGTCATTAAATATATGTATGTATAATGAAGTTGTGAATTATGATAAATATTATACATATTCAATCAAGATCGATTGCCATAACTGTTATTAATGAATTATAAAAAAATGTCTAAAAATCTTGGAAACATTCAAAACCTTTCGCCCAAAAGTATAAAAGCTACAGTCTGTACCTCATATAGCACTTCATCCAGCACTGACTTTATTCTTAGCAATATATAGCTTTGACCAAACAAAAAATAATTTTATTTAAAATAAGAATTTTTTTATTCCATTGATTGATTTGTAACTACTTTGTATATCTATATATTCTATCCGTGATAAGAAATTGTAGTAATGTAGTATACACTATTATTTAAATTGCTTTATCATATTAGTCTCAGAATTACCATATTGTTATGTTTAAGAGGTATTAATATAACCAATAACTATGTAAAAGATTGATTGAAAAAAGAATTGTGTAGAAATAAAGATGAAGAAAAATTGAGTTATGACATACTTTTCCTGTGTATTTCGAATATACAAAGTTCTTATCTGGAGATATGATCGACGTTAAGACAAGTGCAACGTCATGATTCGATTATTTACTTTACCAATCACGAAAGCAGTAATGAAATCGTTTGGAAACAGTAAAAATCGATTTTTTGACGTACAGTCTGTGAATAATAAGGAAAAAACAGTATTTTTTTTAGCAAGAGACGTATATTAATGATTCTTTTTTTTTTATTACATTTTTTTAGGCATGCCAGTTTTATATCTATTTCAACAAAATATATTGCAAATAATTCTAAATTACAATAAAATGATACTTTCAAGCTAATAATTAATCTATCAAAATTTTTTATAAAACGTAATAAAAATTGTTGTTACTGTATTAAATTCTTGTTTGATAAGTATTTATGAGTTATTTTAATTAAAATTTATACATTGTAGAGAGTTGAAAACAAAACTCGAAAACGATAGCATAATTGATACTCTAATACGTCTTGCATTTCTACTTGCAAAATCATGATATTAACTAAAATAAGACAAAAAAATTCGAATAAATTGTGCAATCGAATTACTCGAACAGTTACAATGGAACTCTATTTATTTCGAATACTTCACTGTTTGAATATGCGCGCGCGCGCGCGCGCACACACACACACACACACACACACACACGTATATATTGGGTAAAATAGGACAATAGGAGTCAGGCGCGGTAATTGTTGCCCAAGCTATTTTAGCTATCTTCAGCTATTCAAAAATAGGCCGAAACATCTAAGCGGATTATCTAATAAAGATTTTTTGTGTTATATTCACATTGTTTGTTTTGGGCAACAATTACCGCGCCTGATTCCTATTGCCCTATTTTAACTAATTTCTTTGTGATTATTAAGGAGTCTTTGCGAATCAACTTATGTTTTACATGTATATATATTATGTCACAAAGTGTTAATTTTAGTAAATGTATATATATATATATATATATATCATTCTTATATTAAAAAAAATTGAGCGAAAATATTTATTGCAAACAGAAAATAAGTTTCTCCTTGAAATCAGGTTTAATTCAAGAACAATTCAAATATCTTCAAGCTCAAACGATCCGAACAATTTAAAGTTCGATTCTAAAATTCATACTGTTCGAACTATTCAAGCACATGAAAATTTCACACATCACATTTTAAGAGTATAATTACAATTGTACCCATTTTTTAAGCCCTATTTATGATATTATATACATTATACAACCTGTGTTGTCTTTTATATTCTACTGATGATTTAGTCTCGATAGTCAAAATAATCTATTTCTTTGTCAGCAGTTTTAGGAGTTGACGGCAGCAATTGCTGATTCTGTTTTACAGGTAACGAAAGAACAGTCCTGCAATGCATTTAATTACATATTATTCATTTATTTATTAATTCATTAATTTATATATTAATTCGACAATTACGCGGAAAAAACGATTTTGCTAAAGAATAAAAAATTTAGTTAGATACAGATCTGAAAATAATTTTATTAGATTGTCAAAATTATTATATAGGACACTGAAATATAATGAGTAATTCCTATGTTTTATTGATAATGCAATGTTACAAAAAGTTTTAACAATTAATTTGAGCGTACTACATAATTATTTTGATAATCTAACAAAATTATTTTCAAATCTGTATCTAATTAAATTTTTAAGTATTTAAGCAAAATCGTTCTTTTCGTAGATATCTTACTTTGTAGAGTTATTTCCCTTCGAAGTATTAAGTACCGGACCTGGAACTTTTCTTTGTCCCTTCTCTCTTTGTATCATTTCTAGTAAACTGTAGCTTGGTAGCCAACACTGCAATGCGATACATTCGTTACTAACATGATATATGCTTTAATCAAGCGAGTTTTTACCTTATCTTTCACGGCAGTGGCAACAACATTTCTCTTTGGCTCTTCATCATACGCTTGACTCTCACAGCCAAAATGCTGGCACGACTCGTGCACAAAATGACGCTTTTCTCTGTTCATAACTTCAAATGAGTAACTCCGGGATTTCTGTTTGGATGTCTTCGCTAACTGTACTAATTCCGTCAACTTGTCGTGAACAATTTGGCAGAAGTGTGGGTCTTTCTTAGCCCACTGTTTCATGTAATCGCTATATCTAGGCATTAATTTGCCGCTTAAGTCTGGATTGGCGATCTGCAATCCCAATGCGAGTCTTCTGTTTCTTTCTATTGTCTTACACTCGTCATTACATTCCAAAGTCTTTAACTGATTCTGCTTTTTCGCACCTTGTCCGAACACTTCTTCCAAATCAACAGAGTGACCGAGTTGCATATCGGCCATCTTACTAGCCAATATGTTGCTTGCTATCCTTTGATATTCTCGTGCATTATCTGCACAGACACGACTCATAGTCCTATGTCCACACTGGCACGTAACCTGTAATATAATCATAAATATAATCTTAGAGTACATAATTTTTTGAAATTTCATGGTAATGACAATGGCTTTCAATCGCAGATAGATTATCGCTTAAGACAAAAATTGTTTTTACCTTGACCATCTCTTTGCAAGGCATATCTGGACATTTGCCTTCGTGGCATGGAGCAGCACAGATATGTCCGCAGAGTTCTCTCATTGTAGTGCAAGGTTGAATGCACTGTTGTCCAGGTTTCTCGCAGGATCCGGCGTGGCACATTGTGATACATTTATGCCGTCCACATGTCAATGGTTTATTACACGGCAGACCACACGAGATCTCTTTCACATGACACGGCACTGCTTTCCTGAGTTCATGTTTGCCATGGCACCATCTCTGAGTCAAGACGCTGCAAGGTGGACATGTAGACTCGCTATGGCAGTTATGCAATACCTCATGGTTACAGAGGTGTTCGCGCGAACACGGTCGATTACAAATGGGTCTTCTTGTACCGCATGGTACCGGCGGATAAATCACCTCGGCGCCGCATTCACAATACAATTCTTCAAAACTGCTCTCCAAGCAAGGCGAACATCTTCCTATAGGAGAGAAAAAAATTTCAGTTTATATTGTTTAATTTCGATCATAGATACAATTATGTACTTACCTATATGACATCTTTCTTGGCACTTGTGCCGACCACAGCTTAAAGTTTTTGAACAGGGTAATGGACAGATGTGTTCGATGTCGATGCAGCACAGCTGATTACAATTATGTTTACCGCAGGTTCTCTTCTTCTTGCAACGTTTCTCGCAGCGCGCGTCATCGGCTTTGCTTGTCAAGTCCTTGCAAGCGATCTCACGGTCCATGTTACCGCAACGGCATTTGACATCAGTATTTAAGTCACATTCCGGGCATTCTCCCAAGTGACATGGTGCCTTGCAGATATGCGGATTATCTGCGTGAATAAACAAAAATTTGATTTAGCGCGTCTGTACGATGATAAGACGCAAAGCTCAATTAAAAACAAAGACACTTACTAGGCTGGCCGCATCTCAAGCGCTTTGAACAGATTTTATCGCAGGTCGGCACAGGATCCATACAACTCTCTCTCTTTTCCGTTAATGGTGTTTGACCACAACAACACATTGTAACTCTTTCAGGCGTCAAAGAACAGGGCTCGCAGGCTCCTGGATGACAGATTTTCTGACAATAATGTTTCTTGCAATCCAATGTTTTATTACAAATATTATCACAGGAAAATTTATCTGCGACATTGACTCGGCAGGGTACCTCCTGAGTTTTCTTACTACAAAAACATGCTAAACAAAATAAAATAAAATCATTATAATTATACTGTGGTTGCTATCTGCTGTAATTATTACAATTTGAAAAAATATTTATCTACATATTAATGTTAAAATAAATGTATTATAAATATATTTATCTTAAATTAAAAATTACATGTTAGCTATCGATAAAGAAATTAGAGTATTACTTTGTTGTACAATTTTATCGCAAGGCCCGCACTCTCCTTGATGACACTTTTTCTGACAGGTGTGCTTGCCGCACGACAGATCTTTTTCGCATACTGAATCGCATATTAACCGTTGTTGAATGCTACATAGGAGCATTTTCGATGTTCTGCCGCATCCGCAATACTTTGTTACCATTGCCACGCACTGTGGACAAGAGCCGGGATGGCAGAGCAGGATGCATTTGTGCATACAATTATTCTTGGACAGATGACGACCGCAAATCTCGCCACATGAATGTGCTACGTCCCTGCGATTCCACTCTGGCATCTTCATCTTTCCACAGAAGCAGAAGTAATCCTCAGGCACGAGGAAACTAACATCCCGACAAGCCGGACACTTCCAACTATTATTTTCTAAAAGAAAATAGACAAATCAGAATGTATAATTCGACAATTCGGTGCAATGGCAAGTTTCTGTTTACTTACCACTCTGAGAGGACTTGGCCCATTTTTTGATGCATTTTAAATGTAATACGTGATAACAATTGCTGCAAGACCAAACGTAATCGCTTTGCTTAATATGCTCATAACAAACCAGACATTCCAATGTTCCCTTGTTCAACTGCTCAGTTAATCTTTCCCTCTGGCTCGAGTCGTCATCTAATAAGAGAGAGAGAGAGAATATACAAAATAATAATTATTTCATTATAGAATTCTTTTTTATATAATAATAATGCGATCTCTTTGAAAAATTGTATAAATATACCAATATCATATTTTTTCTTATAATTTTTTCCCTGAGATGCATGCACTGTCTCATTACTTTCCGTCTTATCTCTCCAATTTGCCATTTTCTTCTCCTTATAATTTATCATCTCATTATTTCTTCTTTGTATATACTTTGCTGCTGTTGTTTTACGGCTAGTACCAGATTCAGATTGCATATCGTTCGAATTGTATCTATAATTGGATGCACTAGCAAATCGCTTAACTCTACCATTTCGCGATGCTTCTTGACTTCTCGAAAACATATTTTCCGAATTGTTATCTACGTGCATCAACATCTCTTCTCTACTTCTATCAATTTTTGTACTCGAAGATGAGTCATCCTCTTGAACATCCTCACCAAAAGTCTTATTTTCCTGACTACTAGACATGGCTGAATCAATAGCTTCAGTCATAGTTGTACGAGCTTCTCTAGTAGCATTCTGTCCAGTTGGAGGTACATTTGACTGATACTTCCTATTGTAATATTTGCTGTTCTGAAATTTATTATAGTTTCTCGCGTTGTAAGTCTTAGGAGTATCTCTGTAGCCAAATCTCGATGAAGCCTGCATATCCTGTGGCTTCTTCTGTCTATAATTGGCATCTCTTCTGTTGTCGTAACGTCTCTCACCTTTGTTGTCCGACGAGGCTGATTTTGGTCTGAATTCTTGCGTGAAGGTATTGAAACCACTCGGGTTGCCGTTATCGTACTTCTTGAATCTGTTATCCTTTCGGAATCTGCCCTGGTTGTTCGGTACAAATTCATTGGCTATAGGATGCAAATTGGAGTTCTCCACTACCGTGGACTGGACGACGTCGCCCGCCGACAGTGGCGCATACTTGCCAGCCGTCCGGTTACCCCTAGATCTTGGTCTGTAACCGCCACGGGAGAAGGGTGGCGCATTGTGCGATGTCGGGACGCCGCTGTTCGACGCTCCCGCGTTATCCTCGAACAAGGTGTTTGGCAGTACACGTTCCTGATAGGCATTGTTCTTCAAAGGCACCATATTCGACGGGTACTGGCTGCCGTCCTGATAATAAGCCGTTGTTGGTCCACTCTGCTCGTAAACCTGCCGACCGCCCCTAGCTCTAGGATAGTAGCCTCCGGTGGATACGTGAGGTACATCGCCTAGATATGCATTGTTCTCAACGAAATATGGCCAGTTTCCCGCGGTAGCGGGAACGTCTGCTGCGTTCCGGTCGTCGTACGCCAAGCAATTCAGGTCTTCCGAATATGAACCGTTCCAGGTAGCCATTGCCGCAATTGCACAGTAATGCGAAACTGCACGGAATGCGGGAACAGGGGGATGACGATAAATACACGGCTCTTTATCTGCCGAGAACGAGTCTCCTCGCAAAAAGAAGAGAGGGAAAACGGATTAAGATCGGAGAATTACCGTTTCGGCGAATTACAATATGTTACGTTAGACCGCGCACGTCCGATAGATATTATCCAGAACGATCTTGTCCTAACCTAAAAAAAATTCGAAAGAATACGCGTGAGCTGTTTGTTTTATTGCTTGACGGCCGTTTGTAATTTTTTAATTGATCACTACGAAAAGTCAAAAACTGCAGAGCACTGTAGAGCAAAGAATGAAGTAGCTATGAGCGAAATTCTGGCGAACCTTCTCCCGTCTAGCAGCGATTACAGCAACCTCTAATGGAAGCCTGCGATTAACGGAACTATCAAGTAGTACAAATGTATCATCGTAACCCGATCGATAAGATTTGAAAAAAAAAATTGGATATCCGTATATAATGGAAAAAATAAAAAATAAAAATATATATATCAAGGTAGAATTATAAAAAGAAATTTTATAAATAAAAGGAATAAAAAAAAAGAAGTGAAATTTTGAGATAGAATAGTTTAAAGATAAAATAAATTTTGCAAAATTTGAAATTCGTAATAAACATTACAATTTATTTCAAAAAAACTGTAATAAAAGATGTGAATATTTTTAAAAATTTACTGTTATTAACAAAATTATTGTAAAATAGATAGATAATTATTGTAAAAAATATAAAAGATAAAAGAGCGATTATTATAATGCAGTACAGGCTAAAATAATAACACAAAAATATATGACATAAAGTTATATTTATGTAAAAAATTATAATCCATTTATAAATTTTTATCTAATGTCGTGTTTTATTTATTTATTTATTTTTTGCATTTGATTGGTGTTGAGTATGCGAGTCTAAACGGATCAAATTTTTATGTCAAAATTTGTAAAAAACATTTTATATATTACTCAACTAAGTAACCTGTTAAAATATAACCACCAGTATCATTCGTCAAGATATTGGGGTGTGTCCTGTTGGGCAATACTTGATACGAACGTAAAAAGTTCGTAAACAATTTCATATTTATTACATTGCGTTTCTGTTTGAGTTCCATGTAAGTCTGCTGCAAGGGCTCTCGATGCGCGTGGAAGATGACAAACGGCCGTGAGATTCCCAAGAAGGGCAGCAAAGCATTTGCGATTTGTAAAGGATGCTCTTTTGCTACAATTGTTAAACCACGGGCTTTCGTGCCAGTCAATAAATTCACAGCGCGTTTTGTTTCTAACAACCATTTCAATTTATTTGCAGATTTCTTCGGTTTCTTCAATTCCGTCGCTTCTATTTCAGGCTCTTTAGGTTCGAGTTTTCGTTTCAAAGTATTGTTATCTTCCCTGGTATCGTTTGTGAGAAGCATACCATTTTCTTTTGTTTCAGTCTCCAGCTCTGAAACTTCCATGTCCGTTTCGGATATTTCATCATTCATGGTTTCTCCTTCAGATTCTTCCGATGATTTTTCAGTATCATGCGATTCTTCAGTATCTTTATTAACAATCTTTTTAGAAATATTGTCTATTATGCTTGATTCACCCTGATAATGTAATCTCAAGAAGCTATAAATATTCACTGCAAGATGCCTGTCTCTTAATTCTTGTGGAAAATTCATGGCTTCAATGAATGTAGTTTGAGGCATATTACCGGGATGCAGGTTAATTAGGTAACCGCTAGTGTTCGTACCTATTCTATTGATCATAGCTGCTGCAGGCAATCCCTGAAATCCATTGCTGTATAATAGGTGCAAGCCATCAGATTGCACATCACTGTAGGACAGCATCTGTGCCAGAGCGTCCATTCTCAATCCTCCGATTTTCTCGTGTTTTCGTTTGAAATATACCTCATGCAACAACAATATGGATGTCTTGTATATTGTCAGGAATTTAAAATATTTGTTTTTCTTTTTCTTGATGTACTTTTCCTGCGAGTACTCCGTCTTGGCAGAAAAAGACTTACTGTTCTCAATGAGACTACTGATTATTTCCTTGCCAGTTTTACCAGCTTCCTGCAACTGCAGGATCTCCTCTTTCGACAGCCGCTGGGATGTACCATCATCCATAATGGAACGATTATCGCAACCGCTCAGCTCGCCTTTTAAATCATTCCATGGCTCTATTTCATCTGTCAGTTTCAAGGTAAAAGTACCCTTGTTGCCTGGCAAGGGCACCATCTCGAAAGTGCTCCAGAACGGTTTGCCAATGATTTCCTGCATTTCTACCCTTTGATTTTTCCCTAGCATTAGAATACCATTTTCAGACACTTTGTATATCTTGCTGAAGTCCTGTTTCTTGACTATCACATGGGTGCCCACTGTGATTACGTCCTCCATCGACTCGCACGTGTCTTCCACAACAGCACTCATTGTACCCTGAATTGTTTTTGAGGTTAGGTCCTTTTAATCTCTTGAACTCTATGCATGTCTGGTCCTATAATTTATACATTTTTTTTAACTATATTCTTATTAATTTTTCCAGATTATTTTTCTATAAGTGAGCATTATATCACCTTTCAATGTTTTCCCCTCCCTCTTCTCAACTGTTGCCACATGTATTATCTATCATTTTGTATCTTTTTCGGGTTAGGTTTGTGCAAGTACTACTTGCATCACGAGTCTACTCTACTTTCATCATGGGTTTGTGGCGCATTAGCATTGATCATACTGATCAACCACAGCCAAGAAATTTTAAATACTAATCATATTTTCAACTGTGATTGGCTGATTCGCTTACTACTGAAGTCGTTACAACTCATATTATTGTCGTCAATTTTAGGTTAGGTAAGCATTGAGCACATGGTTTGGTTGTAAGGTTGTAAATTTGTAGTACTGGATTAATCCAAAACAATCGTTTGACTTGTATTCCTTTAAAAATTGCGTCTTCACGTTATACAATTCATATAACTGCATGTTCCTGTTATGTTTTTGTTTTTCTTACAGTGGCTGAAATATTTGGAGTAAAGTAATCTGAATGTAATTAGTTATTACTAATACTAACCTTAAAAATATATTATATTGAGTGATAGGTATTACGTTTGTTACATACGCTTGGTATAAGTTTAATGTATATTACAAAGAGTACTTTCTATTTGATGATATAAGTGTTGTTCTATCTTTGTTACTCATTGAATGTCAAGAAAGATAAACTGATGTTTGTGTTGATTTGTTTCACTAAATTCAAAGTATCCCATAACTGTTTTACTTTCAGAAAACACAGAATTTCAAATTCGACATATTAAATCGGTGCATAATTCATGAAACTGAAAAATGTTTTTGCCAAAACTTACATATAAATATTATTAAGCATCAAATTCTGCTTTGATCGAAAATTAAATTGTTTTTCTTAATTGATTTCTTCTTATTAGTCTAATTTTTGCTTATATTTATTTATTTATCTTTATTTAATTTTGATAAACAACAAGATGATTCTAAGAGTGTTGTAAATATGAATCAGATCATAATTAATAATATAATTATATTTATAGATCATAATTAATAATATAATCAATATAATCATAAATAATAATGAATAACAAAAATAAAATTTTATAATTTCATTTTAATTTATATTGCACACTTATATAGAACACAAAATGAACATACTAGAATGGCATGCTTGTGTCGACTGTGTCTTCTAAAAGAAAAGCAATGAAAATCTATAACATTTAACAAAATCTTTAATTTTTTTTAAATTAAAAACAACTTTACAGTCTTTTTAATAATGTTTCACATGTTTTAATGATTGCAGAAAACAAAAATGAATTATCACAATGAATTTCAAGCCATTGTGCTTGCTGGAGGAAAAGGCTCCCGTATGACAGAGCTCACAGCAGGCCAACCGAAATGTTTGCTGCCGATTGCAAACATTCCTATGATCTGGTATCCCTTGCAAATTCTTGAGCGTTCGGGCTTCAAAGAAGTGATTGTTGTTATTGCTGAAGCAACCAAATCCGATGTGTCGGCGTCGTTGGATAAATTGGGTCTGAAAATCAAAATAGAATTTGTAGGAATTCCAGGAGCCGAGGACCTTGGCACAGCTGATTCTATCAAACTCATTCATGAAAAAATATATACAGATATCTTGGTGATATCCTGCGATTTGATTACAAATGTGGATTTATTGGAGATTCTGAATTTATACAGAAAACACAATGCAAGTGTAACTGCTCTGATGTTGCCTATACCGAAAATGCCAGACGACTTTGTAACGCCAGGTCTAAAAAACAAACAGAGACCAGAAACAGATTTGATTGGCATCGACAATAATACAGGTCGATTGGTATTCTTGGCTTCTGCATCTGATTTCGAGGAAACAATTAACATTTCGCAGAGGCTGCTCAGAAAACATGCTAGCTTCACTATTCACTCCAAACTGATGGATGCACATTTGTATATTATTAACAAATGGGTAATAGACTTTTTGATATATAACAAGTGAGTAATTTTACTAGGGAGAAACATTGAAGAGACTAAACATAAATTTAATCAAATGTACAAATGTTTTTCAGAAATTTCACAACGCTGAAAGGTGAACTTCTGCCATATATAGTCGGTAAACAATTGTCTAGATCTAAACAGTCTTTAGATGATAAGACATCTATGGTACAAATGGATTTGAAAGATGATATTTTTCATTTTGCATTGGAAAAACCGTTTGATGAGCTGATAAGAAAGATGTCAGCCTTTAATGATCATAACACCGATTTGGAGGATGCATATAATGGGGATGTAATACGATGTTATGCCCATGTATCAAATGAAAAGTTTGGTCTTAGAGCAAATACCATACAAATGTATCATCTTGCGAATGCTAAGGTTGAGTAGTGTTATTTATTTCATAAATCTTTATAACAAAGCAATAATATATATTGTTCCAAACATATAAGAGATGAGAATTTGAGATTTGTCAACTAAAAGTCGTCTACTTTCATAGATTATGAATCATAAATAATAATGTTTACACTATAATATGTTATGTTTTTGCTTTTAATATATTATAAATTGAGGGATCAATTTCAACTAATTAAGAAATATTCTGTACATAGATATCAGAATGGTGGAATGATGATAAAAACCAGTTGCCGTTGCTACCATGTATTTCGAGCACGGCGACCGTGCGCAGTACACAGATGCAAGAATGTCGCATAGGCGATAATTCATTAATCGAGGAGAAAACATCATTGAAAAATAATCATATTGGGCCTAACAGCATCGTAGAATCGAAAACAAGAATATCTCAGAGTGTGATAATGGGACATGTAACTATTAAGCAAAGGTAAATCGAAGTATTATTGAAATTATTCGTCTAATATATTTTACGAATCGCTATTCTTTTTTATAGATGTGTTATTCACAACTGCATACTGTGTAATGGCTGCACCATTGAAGAAGGTACCGAATTAAAGAATTGCGTAGTTGGAGCACAACATATTGTGAAATCTGGTAGCCAACATTCTCACGAAGTACTTACTGATGCAGATAGACTCATAGAAATTTAATTTAATTTATATTTTGTATTTTATATATATTATTGTAAATATATATTAGATTATATTATTAGTATTATATATATTAGATTATATAATTAGATTATATTATTTGTAAAAAATTTTAAATGTATAAACAAAATTGCCTTTTATAATTTACCATTTAGATTACAAAGTGTTAATATATCTAAATTATGCAACAATTTTATATTTAGACTGATAAGATAATCATATATAATTTAGATTAATATTTTTTTGCAAGAGAATTAAATCGTTTTTATTTTAGAAAATAAAATTTTAATCTTATCGGTTACTTAATATGTAGTTTATTGAATAAATGGAATTAATTAAATGTATTAATTTTTTTATTGAATGAATTATCATTTGAGTAAAAGTTTCGTGGTAGTTCAATTGGCATCTGTAGAGATCGGTTGAAAACGTCTTGTCCTCTATTGGTTGAATTCTGATTGAACGAAGAAACGTTCGGATTGGGAACGGTACATCGTAGCCTTTTTCTCTTGGGATATTTTTCATCCACAATGGTGAGTATGGATTTATGTAATTTAAATCGATTTATTTTGCAGCGATCCTAATAGCCGGTCAATTGATCGATGCGGAAAAAATGTTCTGAATTTTCATAGAACCGATATAATTGAATAATATCGGGCAAAGGAAAAATGTTTCGCACGATAGTAATGTGATACCGGTTTACAGGTTATGTTATAATAATGTTTATGTGATAACACGTTAACATCACTTATTCCCTGAAATATATTTATCTTTTGTTTATTTATCTATAAAGATGGTTTGAAATAACTTCTTTATATCGTATTATTGATCCATCTTTTTTTTTCTATAATTTGTAACATGGAGTCATATGTTAGTTTTATTTTTTTTTTCATGTTCACAGACGAAGGGTACATCCAGCTTTGGTAAGCGGCGTAATAAGACGCACACGTTGTGCAGGAGATGTGGACGTAGCTCCTACCACATCCAGAAGTCACAATGTGCGCAATGTGGCTATCCTGCTAAGAAAATGCGTTCATGTAAGTTGCCACTGTATAATATAACATATTTACATAAAGGATTGTCCATTATGTTTATTCAAATATCAAATATTTAATGTTAATATAGAAATATTAATTAATGTTTGACGACTATAGATAATTGGTCAATCAAGGCGAAGAGGAGGAAGACCACTGGTACTGGCCGTATGCGTCATCTTAAGATCGTACGCCGTAAATTCAAGTAAGCTACAATGACTATGTTAGAAATATGATAACTAACAAAAATTAAAACAAACTAAAAATCTATTTTTTAATATTTATTTTTTTACTCTTAATCTTTTTATTAAATAGAGGTGTAGACATTATCCAATTTTTCTTATAATTTACATGTATGTACATAATTTATGTATACAATACATATAAATGATTTCATGTTTACAGGAATGGATTCAGGGAAGGCTTACCAAAACCCAAAGCTGTTGCAGCTAAGTAATACATTGACTTCTCTTTGTCTTATTGTCTAATTAAGTTGTAATTTTGACTATCAATAAAAAATCCAATTACAAAATTAGCACTTCAGTGAGAATTCCTTATAATTCAATAATTTTAATAACATATTTATTGAATTATTTACTTCTATAAAGTATAATTATATAAATATTTATGAGTTTCATGCACTTTTTTATTGTATTATCCAGAACCTTCTAGTTCCTGTATAGAGTTTCATTCTTGAATGGAATTTTACACAAAATAAATTTAACTGTTTATTTTATTTTAAATAAACTTGAATTCCTATATATAACTCTAAAAAACTTTTTTATTATATTGAATAAGTAAAATAATTTAAAATTAAGTACACTTTTGTATATTATCTTAGCTCTCTCCAATTTTTTTCTCTATTAATACATCAAATAGTATTTGTAAACATGTGTGAACTTCTGATAAATCTGTGTATGTATTCTTATGTGTTATATCATATCTGACAAAAAAATTTGAAGACATGCGTGATCAGAAAGATAAGGTGTGTTGTCTACGTGTCGTTTGTACAATCTTCGTGGAATTTTTAATTATCGCGGCTTCCCGTATATTTAGTAAGCCTCCGATCTCGCCGAACAGTACGTTTGATGCACTCGGATGATTGGTGTAGCTTCATTGTGCATCTAGGCATCTGCCGATACTGCGCTCGAAGACCATTGATCTTCAGCTTGCCAATTTGAAAGTTATGCCACGAAACAATATTCAACGAATGTTTCGTCTTCATAAGCATCGCAGAATTAAGAAGATTCGTTTGATTAAATAATAAATTTTTAAAAACGAAGCGCACTTAAAATTCAAATTGTTGATCGAAGGAAAAATAAGGTATGTCATTAATTTGGTAGAGAAAGCAGATCAATTAATCGCCTTTACAAACACCAAAGAATTAAGAAGATAATTCGTTTAATTAAATAATAGTAAAAATTTAAAAAAAGGAAATGTATTTATAATTCAAATAGTTGATCAAAGGAAGGATCAATTAAGGTTTCTACTACATAGGTACATAAAATCTGTTCCAAACGAATTTTCAAGATTTGTATAATACAATTCTGTACAAATGGGCGTTCTGCGTCAACTACTGTTTGGTAAGTGTACGTCTTTTATTTTTAGAAATAATAGCCGTTCGATTGTCTGAAATTTATATTTTTGGCTGTGTAGGTAAATATCTGTTAGTTACCAACACTGTGAGCTGTGGCTTGATGATGGCAACGGGAGATGTGATTCAGCAGCGCAGCGAACATTGGAAGAAGCATTATTCTCATAAATACTTTCCGAGCAGCGTTATGGCAGCATCATCAGAAGATGAAAAGGTGACGACGATTTCCAGCACATATGGACATGATTACATGAGAACCAGGAATATGATGATTATAGGACTGCTTCAAGGTCCGTTTCATCATTGGTTCTATATGCTTCTAGACAAGATTTTGCCAGGCAGGAACGCAAAGTCGGTCCTCAAAAAAACCTTTCTGGATCAATCAATCGCAAGTCCTATGTGCCTAACGATATTTTTCGTCGGCCTCGGAATTCTGGAGAGTCGCAAAATCGAGGAGATCAGCAAAGAGTTAAAGCTAAAGTTCGGCGAAACGTGGAAAGTACGGGATTACACTCGTTAATTAATATTTCAATAATTGTAAAGAGCGAGTTTGTATAATAATTAAGATTAAAAAATGCTGCTATCGAAAGTTTTCTTGTTAAAATGTAATGCATGTGATAACTTATTGAAATTGTACTGCTAGGTCGACTGTTGCTTTTGGCCTCCTACGCAATGCATTAATTTCTTCTTTGTGCCTCTACATTATCGAGTACTCTATATAAATGCTATGACGATGGTCTATGACATTTTTCTATCATATATGAAATATGTAAGTTTTACCTGTATATTTATCAAGTTACAATCAAACAAATATAAATTATTATTGTTTAAATTATGAGTTATCGCAATGAAGTAATAATTATTTGTTTTATCCGCAGGATGCTCACTTCGAATGACAATAAAAATCTCATGGCTAATTCTTCGCAAACTAACTAAGCTAGTCTGGGATAGTCTGAACGAAAGATGACTGCGCAAATAATAATTAGCAAGCATGCATTATATATGTTTATCTTTAATAAACTGTATCGCAATGTTCAATAAAATACCGTTGAAAAGAATTTTTGAGTAAGATTACTGTATCTTCCCATTTTGATGTCTTATCGATTCGATTTATTCGTTTTTATGATTTTTATCAAGATGACAAATAAATACGAGTAATCGTCCACTGCAGTTCCTGGTTGCAATATGTGCAAAAAATTCAATAATAATTAAAATTCGATTAATGCAAGAATGTCGAGATGTTATTTTTTATAATTATAATATTTCGCGGTGGTTTTCTTCAAAGAAATAATTTAATATTTTATTATTAACTGCAACTTTTCTACTTGGCAACTTCTACTTGGATCTTAAATCGTGACTACCTTAAGGTAGAAAAATATTCTAAATTCAAAACTACGTGGTGACACTAATTATTAGAGGTGTTACATTCGTTTTCCTGCGATCACAATGAGATTTCTTTGCGAGATATCTCTTACCTCATAATACGTCGTATGTTCACACACAAACAAAAAATCTGGTAGAAAACTCGGAAATTTATTGATGACATTGAAGCTTGAATTTGAATTGTAAATTATTCGTACGTGGAAAAAATAATGCGGCGTGCGATATTGCGAAATAATGGCGATCGAACTGGTCTGCGGACACGCGACGACACGTATCCTAAAACGCGTATTCACAATGAGATCGCCTTATCGCGCAATAATCTCTCATTGAGTTTATTTATTTGCTCGACAACTTTTGTTTGGCATTTGGCGACAGTGGGATTACACGGTCTTCCAGTCAAACGTCATCACGAGCAAACACGGATTAACGGATATAAACACAAACAATAAATTCAACCATCGTGCAACACAAAATAATTGACGAAAATATTTTGCGTGTGAAATATAGGATTTTGTAACAGGTTTTGCTGACGCTTCCCGTTATTCGCGTTTTGCCTGCTTTTTCTGTTACGCTAATAAGACTGCGCCCTGGAATTAAAGTACAGTTTTTATAAAATTTTAAATTTTAAACAGTTATTCTAAAATTTTAATTTAGAGTCAATCTCACTCTAAAAAGTGAAATCTACTTCTTAAAGATTGAAAATTGAGACGCTTTCTTTCAGAGACTCTGAGAATCCACTCTAAAGAATTTAGAGAGAATAATTTAGACTATTTAGAGAGAGTTTCTGTATAAAATAAAGATATGTGTATAATATATAGTGAGCAATCGTGAAGATCTCTACGCTTCTTTCACAAGTTATTTACGCCGTATTATTTTATATCTCGGACAAAAGAAAATCATACTTATCCTATATATGCTCTCTTATGCTGTCACTTATTATTATCTCATTGTTTTCCGTAATGATATATAGATTGTAGTTTCCATCTTCTACAGATTATCTGTGATATCGTCAGTGTGATTGGAAATTTTTCCGAGATAACAATATATAAAAATCTTTTGTACTTACATCAATAATCTTCGAATCGTTGTCTTCAACGTTAACCTGCGGCTACAAAATTTTAAGATTAGTTTAACATATTTTGTTATTAGACATTTATTATTCAAGATTTTTCATTTGATTTTTATTATTAAATATTAACGACGTATTAATCGATGCCCAATTTCTTCACCTTTAGATAACTTTAGATAGATATTTCCCAGAATACAATGTAAATATCTCTTGGAAACTTATCTGGAAGTGAAGAAATTGGGCATTATCGAATTGTTAAATAAACGAGCACTGATAATTGTTTCCACTAATATATTTAGATTAACTTTAACTTAGTTCAACTTACTCTTCATATCTCTTTCTAAAAACTAGGCATGAGAGAGGACGACTTGAACTAAACTCTGATTAAATTATAGTTAGCGATTAATTCAAATGATACAATCGCCTAAGGCAAGATTTTAACTACATAATTTAGTGTTCTTAACAAAAAATTAATTTATTGTTCTTAAAAAAATTAATAGATACTTCTTGCTAATAAAATCTAATATCACTTGATTGACAATTAAGTTAATTAACTTAATCAGCGCGATTATAATTCAATCGCCTAAAGCAAAATGTCTAACTTCGTAACAGTTCTTTCTCTAATCTTTTTCTTCATACGTTAAACAATAAAAAATTAATAATTCCATCTTTCTTAACAAAATAATATCGCTATTATTATCTGATTAATTACTAATAAGTTAATCGGAAAATTTGGTCGGAGAATCTTTCTATAGATATAAATAGCGAATTGTAGGTATGAGTGAGAGTGTGAGAGTGTGCGAGACCGGAAGGAAGGAGAGAGTAGTGGGGAAACCTGGAACAGCCGATGATTATTAGCTGACTTCAGTATGCTCGAAATTTTGGTTATATCGAGTAGTGATTTATTTTTTTCATGAGTACAGATGCACGAGGCATCGTTTGCGTCTTTCTGTGACGATACCCGTGGCAAATGAGGTCGGCACGCTCCACATAGCATGCATCTCCACTCGACAAGACACCTCAAAGCTCTCTTCGTTTAATTGGCCTACATAACCGTTCCGACAATTATGAATTTGCAAACGCTTTTTCAAGACTTCAACCCGAGGTAATTGCCGTGTTATTTAATACAACACTCGGTGACTCATTATGGGCACCTTTGTGACGACATATTAATTATTCATATAAGTATGAATATAAATACTTATACAACTATTATATAGTATTAATTTTAAATTTTAGTAAATTTCTGGTACACACATGTTTGATGATATTCACATCTCTATTTGCTCTTCGATTGGATGGTTTCATTGAATGGAGTTATTGGTCGATATTCAGTCCGATATGGTTCTGGAAAGGCATGGTGATCCTGGGAGCGATAGTTGGAAGCTATGTCTGGTGGAGGCATCCTCACGCAAGATTAGAAGGAGATGCCTATGTACATTATAAAGCAATGCTGATTACTCTGGCGTTGCATCTGATCTTGTTGATGTTTGAATTGTTAGTATGCGATAAATTAGAATCCGAGAGACACTTGTGGATACTGGTATTCATACCTTTGATTTTTATCTCGATAGTATCAATTGCGGTAAGTAAATATGTCTTCAAACTGCTACTGATGGTTATATCGATGAGTTCTTTTATTTTTTGATCCTTCTGATTTAGGTTTGTATTTGGGCTGTAAAACATGATCGGTCATTTGAACTGGAACTCTTTTGTGCAGTGAATGTATTACAATTTATCTTTTTGGCTTTGAGATTAGACGGCTTTATAACATGGAGTTGGGAAGTTGTGTTCGTGCCACTATGGGCACTTCTTTGTTTATCCTTGGTAGCTGTTTTATATGCGATAGTATTCGCCGCTGTTTTATTGAGAACACCACAAATCAATGCCCGGCAGAGGCGGACCTCTTTGCACTCAGCAGTGGCATATACATTTCTCGTTGTTCCCATTTTAGTATTTCAGGTATAATTAGCATTTTATGTGTGTGCACGTTTTATTAAATAAATCATAATTGTCTTAATTCTCTTTTCATAGTGTTATTTATTTGATAAAAATTATTCTGCGCTTTAGGTACTGCTAGCGAATAAATTAGATGGAGATATTTCAATAAATTATATAACAGTGGCAATGCCACTTCTCCTATCGCACATGACTCTTATTTTTATGTCTTTTGGTGCAAAAGGCGGAAATAGATGTAAGACATAATCTATTATTTAATATTAATCTAGAACAAATCTGTTCAAAACTTAGCACTACAACGCTCCCACGTCTCATTGAGCGAGACAAATGAAAAACAAAAAAGGATAGACATTAGAGCAGCTAATTGCTAGGCAGAACTCTAGCGTTTATTTTTTTTTATTTTTTATCTGTTTTTATTTTTTATCTCATTTGACGAGACATTAGAAAGGTGAAAGCATTTAACTCATGAGCTGAGTTTTGAATAGGCTTGCTCAGTTGCTCTAGGATAATGATATATTATTATTTTCTTTTAATATAATACATGTATAAGATTATTTCATTATTATTAATTTTATTTATTTGCATGTAAGAACGATGGATTTTTTGTTTAGGGTGGTTTGGTATCAGAAAAGACTTTTGTCACTTCCTGCTAGGTTTATGTCCATTACTTCAAGAATATGGTAATATTTCTTATCAACCAAGAGACGAACGAGATCAACCACCATCTGAGCCAATGATTACAGAAAAGAGCGAAAAACTTATTAAGAAAATTGACCTAATGAAACCTGTTGTGCCTATAATTTCTATAGACATGCCTGACTGATTGGCTCAAAACAGGTATTTGTTGTAAAGATATATTTGAGAAATGTATTACATACAGTGTGTAATTGATATATCACGATGTTTAAAATTCTTCGTTCTGTTATCTTTCAGGGTTAGCTCGGCTATTTTTAAATTGTTATTTTTAATGCAACTGACTTAACAGAGGCCAAATATATATTATAAAATAGTCAGGTATACTTTTTATTGAAATCTTAAATGCTAAATATGCATATAATTGAATATTGTTATATTTATTTATATTATTCCCTTCATTACTTTTATTTATTCTAGGCCTTATTAAGCAGAGATCGAATTATACAGATATATATATATATATATATATATATATATATATGTGTGTGTGTATATATGTCGGCTGGGATATAAGACTGAGCACCTCGCATCTCTAGAATAGCATTGCCAGAAAGCGTCAAAAAATAAACAAAAAAGCGGTTGGACAAATTATAAATTAGAAAAGTGATGTTTCTGTTAATGTTGGACATTGTAATGTTAAATGCCCGATCATTTATTATATTATAATGTAGAAATAATGTATATACAGACTGTTACTCATTATCATAATATTACATATGATGGATATTGAATATTATACAGGTCTACTATACGATGGTAGACAAGTACTAGTAACGTTACATTATTTTATATATATATTACATCTAAAAAATACTATTATAATCTAATAAAGTTTCTATTTTTTGGTATCAACAGCAACGATCAATTAATTTTTGCGATTTTTTATACTGCTAATTTAATATATAGAACAATATTGCACGTGGAATATCGAGACTTTGAGATTTTTAGTAATACTATTCAACAGTTTTTTACTTGCAAATATTATAGGCATTATAAACATAAAAGTGAATATGTTGAATTTTTTGTTCGACATTGCAAAATCTTTGTAAGTTATGTAATTTATGAAAAAAATAGAAAAGTACGTCGTGAAAATTTTGTTGAAACCTCTTTTTCACTTCTCAGGAGATTACCACAATGGTACATATTCCGGTATCCACATCCGACCAAGGAGCGAGGATAAGTTCGTCGACACTTTAGCGATATCGAAGTCTGCATCTTCTATCAGTGATGTTTCCGAAATGTACAATACCTGCAGACGATGTGCGCACAACGCAACGAATTTTGCTAACCCAGAACAGCTATAAAATGGAAAAAAAAAATTACAATATTTCATATTAATATTTCATTGGAAAGACGTGATGTGTGTTTTTCGATATATATCATTGCTGCAATATTGAAATATTTATTAATAATAGTTCATTATTAATAAGATTGAGATATTTTTACAAATTTTACAAATTGATAATTAAACATTAATGAAGACAGTTTTATTAATTTTTAAATTGTGTATTTTCATGAAAGAAATAAAATTTAAATTTACAATCTTGGAATTAATAAAGATATTTCAATATTGAGTTAGAGTAGCGATATAGCATATTCATGAGTACAAACGTGATTTCACAATCGCCCAAACTGACGGCACTAAGGTGCGAGCAACTCTTGGCCATGGAAATCAGGAATCGATCGATCGGACCGGATTCATATGTGGCGATAACTAATTCTATCAATCGTGGACATTGCTTGCTTATGCGTGACATCGACTCGGATGTTGCGTCGCCGAGATACAAATGTGTTACGGGGATGTGCGACGTGAAAAGTAATTTTTTATTATCGTCGTCGGTCATGTAAGATAGTCTAACGAAAAATAAAAAATACAGCTGCAAAGCTTATTTTGACTTTTACTCGCATCGCGCGGATATTGTAGTAATAATTCTTAATCAAGATGTATATAGTTCATTTTTACTTACAGCGCAAGATTTATGTCGGGCAAATGATTCGAAAACGCGGACCATGCTTTGTCACTAACAAATGGAAAAGGCTTCGCTTCTGGGTATGCCTCTACTCGCAAAGTTTCCAAGTGGATTTGCTTCACTGAACATAATGCTAAGAGCAGCTCATCGCTCAGCAAGGCATACGATAAAGATAATTCGCGAAGCCATCGACAATAATTGGTCAAAGCGAGGATGCCTAAAACATTGACGAACTTCCTTAACGCATGTATGTGCAATTTATGAAACTGCAAACTTAACTTTTATTCGTTGCCAACGATAACAGTCTTCGAATTACCTTCGGGCAATAGCCGCGGAAATCCTTTAACTCGCACAAGATGCAATGTTTTGGGATCGTTTTCATCACCGCAACAATAATCTTTCCTACATTCGACATTCTTAGCTTCAGAGATCGTTACTGCAGATTTAAAACACTCATCGTTGATCCCAAGCTTCTCCGTGCTCGTCACCGCAAACATTTGCGATAATAAATCGAGACGTTTAATTTTATATCACTCTTTTAAACTGAATTAATAAAAATTTCGTCGATTAAAACAACAATATAGAATTTCATTGGGAATTAATGAGTATTTTATTTTTTCATATTATTTTGTAGAATTGAACAATTTGATTTCTGAAACGCTTATATATTGTACTTTTTTACTCTTTAATTTTAAACTTTCTATTATATTTGCAGTCACTATCCCCAGAATTTAATATTCCTAATCGAAATAATCTATCATTAACTGATTCTTTCCAGTGAAATCTCATTGAATGCGGCTTAAACTTATAACTGCTACTGTATATTCTTATCTGTTTTCCAATATTAATATACTAATTCCACCTAAGAGAATACGTTTAATCTTACTCGCGTTCTGTAGTGATGAGATAAACTCTGGAGTCCGTCGCAAAAATATTCGCGCAATGAGTGTTCTCGATAATAAACTGAAGATACGTTCTTTCGTTCTGTCGCGAACCATGGTCCTCCGTGAAACGGTCTACCTCGACTCACCGAGATGATTAGGAACAAGCGAAAGGAGTTTGCGGAAGTGGGGACTAGGGCATGCACGCGAGATACGTTAAGTAAAAGTAAAATCGCGAAGAAAAGGGTCAAGGACTTCCCGAGATTGCTGGCTCGCGTATGTTCTTCGTACACTGTTCACGTGTATTATGCAAAAATGTAATGTCTTATACACGAGGCCTCCACGGGAAAAGCATGATAAACGCGTGATCCAAGATGCGAACTTGTGCGATTAATCAACCAATAGAGTTTAAAAAAAAACCGTGATTATATATACTTTGATCAAGAAAATATTAAAGTTAAGATTATAATAAAATTTCGTTACATATTTTTTATCTGTAGAATTTAGTGCTAATTGCATCAGATAATAAAATCTTACATAAAAGAGAAATTAATCGCTTGCAAAATATTATATCAAAAGATTAAAATTTTAATTTTTAATGAGTTTAAAGTAGTAGCAGTTTTTAGTAAAAGTAATGTTATTTCAATCCGAGATGAGAATGTTGAGTCGATAAAGTTTCTTAAACAGCAATGACACTTTTTTAAATATCATCATTATCGTAACTGTTTACTTATTTATTTAGTTCTTAACGTCTTGCACATGACGTTCCTTTCACTAACCGTTCACGTGCTATCAAGCTCACGTGTATGGATCGTTTTGCGCCCCTTCACGTCTTTCTGACATTCGTGGAGGCCGGACTATCCCAGTATCAATGTACAATTGACTCGCAGCATACGTTACGATCACCGTCAAAGATATGATTGTTGCATATATAATAAAAATACTGAATTATTAATATCAAGCAGTGGAAATTGGAAAGACGGTTTTAAAGAGTAAAGATTTAAAATAAAAGAATATCGAATTAAAATTTGTGGAAAAAATAATTCTTTATCTTATATAACTTTTTATAATAAAAACATTTATAATTTTGTTTGAAAAAGTTAGACTTATTTAATAATTAAAAGTAAATTTAAAAAGCTTTTATTTTCACATATAAACTTATTTTTATTTTCTGTACAGTATTAATTACCTATATGCTTACTATATATACATATGTGTTATATAGTTAATAAAAAATATAGTTAGTAGTAATATTACATACAATTCTCTTTTTTCTTTCATATTTGAAAATAAAAGTTCAAGATTTTATTTTATTATTATCTTCGAATCCTGCTACAGGCCATTTACTCAAATGATCTTTTAAAACAAAAGGAAAGAGGGACAGTACCTTAAAACAATTTCCCATTTTATCTTCATCGGTTATCATATGATATCCTGACTCAATGTGTTCCTTTTGATTATTAGAAGCATTTTGTAAAATAATTTTTAACCGTAAATCGATGCCAAGACTTTTCAGGAATTTTCTTTGCGTCACTGGACCAAACGTGATTAATCTATCGTCTTTCTGTGCAATCTCTTTTAATAATAAAAAATCAACATCCGCAGTCAGATCTGCAGTTCCAGGATTTAACAAGGGATCGTGTAATTTATGCCTGCAGAATGCGCGAAATGTATCGGTCTTTTCCCTCTCGTGACCATAATCGATCACTAATGCAAATCCTCCATGTTCCCACAAAAATTGGGACATGTAATCTATTATCACAGAGCACTGTGGACTTATTTCCACGTGATCTCTTTTCTCGTGCGACTAAAAGATATCGCTTTTATTTACCCTATTATCTAAAACTTAAATGCTACAGAAAACGACACAAATAAATGCTCACAGATAGGTATACTTTACAAGCAGCTGTTGACATTTGCGAAAGTACATATCGAAATCTTTCTTCCTTTGAGTCTTGTACTATATCTATTAAAATTTCTCTCCAACCTTTATCAGTTTTCTAAAATCAAGCGATGTAACTTTTGTAAAAATTATTCTTTACATATTTAACGCACATTTTACAATAAGTCATTAGTAATAAATCAGAAGCTAAAAATTAACTAATTATAGTCAATTATTTTTTTCATATTCTACTGTGATTGGAATTTCTTCTGATTCCTGATTTATTATTATAATGACTTATTGTACAATGGGTATAATACATTTAGTATCAACGTTCCAATATTTCCATACCTGGAATTTATGTATTGGTAGAGTGTCAAAGAACTCTTGTGCAATAAATACACTAAACTTTCTAGGAACATCATTGATAGAATAATACCAATATATCTTTACATTATCTCTCGTAACACCCTCTCTATAATGCGTAATAGAATTCTTTTGGTCTTCATTGACTCTTGGCTCAACACTTTTGCTTTTTGTACATAATTTCTCTGCTTGAATTACAGACAAAACAGGACTGATTTCTATTAAATGAACCGATATCTTATTTGAAACATTCAGTTTCTTGAACACCTAAAATAAAAGACAACTCGTAATTTTTACAGTTTTGTATTAGATTTGTAATGTCATATTGAAAATATACCCGTAGGATATCATTGATCAAGGTACCTCTTCCTGGACCTAATTCCACAAGTTGGATAGAATCTCTGCTAATCTTTCTCCATTCATTGACTATCCAAATTGCTATAATCTATCAATAATGATTAATGTATAAACTATTTCTGGACAATAATTTTTTAGTGATTTTGAAACAAATAGTAAAAGAAAAAAGATGGAATTATTTCAAGGATATTATTGCAATGCTAACTTCATAATTTCTTATGAGATCATCGACATAATAAATAAATACAGATCTTTTTCAGTTCGAAGAGTTACATACTTCTCCAAAAAGTTGACTGATTTCTGGAGAAGTTGTGAAATCACCTCTTTGGCCGAAAACATCTCTAGTTGTATAATAACCTGCAGTAGGATGAATCAAGATCTCCTTCATGTACTCTGCGAGCGTTATAGGCCCACATGCTAATATTTTTGCATACAATTGACGATATAGATCCGTTTTCTTCTCTAAACTGCTCGACGAGCGTAATGTCATTTGCGATAAACGAGAGAAAGTTCGCGCTAATCGAGATAACGCAATCATGTTAAATATAGCGTTAAGTACCTTGCGCTGTATGTGTATAAATTATTTGCATAACTACAATTCATGTAATTGCAATAATAGATTTTTATACGAAAATTTTTTCATATGAATTTATCACGATTTTCTTAAACTGTTAGGTTGATCGATAATAGGTTAGGTTGATCGATTAGGTCAGGTTAGGATAAGTTTGACTTTTTCCACGAAACAAGAAATAACTGCAGAGAGTGAAATCACAAGAGAATTGACAATTGAGAGAATTCCAATATTGTTGAATGTGAGTGTGAATATCAAAAAGTGACACAAAAATTACTCAATTTAAATTTGTTACATTTTTTTAGCGTAATTTGTAAACTAAGCAATCTATTTTTGACAAATGGATATCGGAGAACTGTTATCTTATAAGGTATGTAATCGAATTAGCGATTTGTATAATTTATATTTATTTCTACAATATATATATTATTTAATTTAATCTCGCTTATATGTCATAACTTTCGGCTTATAAACATTTTTTTTCTTCTTTGTTAATTTGGTGATTTACTTTTTCATTTGCTAAATAACGTATGATAATTAAATAGTGATAATATGTATAGCCTCCAAACACACCAAAACGACCGACAGCAGGGGAGGAGGATGACGAGGATGAATGGGAAAATGCAAAGAGGCCAAGGAGAGTGATAAAAACACCATATCATGCACGTCAACGACAACCCAAGGAACTCGATATAGTACCGTCTAGGAACGATGAACCAGCTACGCCTATCAGAGCTGCTTTGCCTTCATCGACTAACGATGTAGTTGAACCACAATTAACGGAAAAGGAGAAGCAAGATATATTAAAATATGTAGAAACTGAGGCTCCCGAGGTTGAAGCTTTGGATGAAGCGACGCTTAAACGTATGATTCTTTTGTTTGAGAAGAGAGCTTTGAGAAATCAGGAAATGAGAGTTAAATTTCCAGATCAACCAGAAAAGTATGCAAACACATGGAAGCTACATAAATATTTGTCCGGAGGAAATCTCAAGTATAATTCTATTCTGTTTGGACTTTTGCAGATTTATGGAATCTGAGGTAGAACTGCATGAAACTCTACAAGAGCTTCATATCATAGCGACCAATCCAGATTTGTATCAGTTAATGGTAGAATTGGGCGCTGTGCCTTCTTTATTAGAATTGTTGTCTCATGAAAATACTGACATAGCAGTTGGCGTGGTAGATCTTCTGCAGGAATTGACTGATGTAGACATATTGCATGAAAGTCAAGAAGGTGCAGATACACTTATTGATGCTTTGTTGGAGCAACAAGTTTGTGCTCTTCTAGTACAAAATCTTGAGAGACTCGATGAAACAGTAAAAGAAGAGAGTGACGGTGTCTATAATACACTTGGTAATTATTTAATAAATATATATTATTTGTTTTTTGTTTCTGCAAAACTATTTCTATTGAATTAATTCAACAACGATTTTTTTTTATTTCTAGCTATTTTTGAAAACCTGCTGGAGTTTAGACCAGATTTATGTGCAGATGCAGGAAAACAGGGTCTAATGCAATGGTTATTGCGCCGAATTAAAACGAAAACACCTTTCGACGCGAACAAACTTTATGCCAGTGAACTTCTATCTATACTTTTGCAGCACACGCCAGAAAATAGACTTCTTTTAGGTGATTTGGATGGAATTGATGTTTTGTTACAACAATTAGCTGTATGTATTTTTTTATAATCTGTGCATTGTACATAATGTTATCAAATTGAATTATCTTAAAATTGATTATATTTACAGTATTATAAGAGACATGATCCACAGACTGCAGAGGAACAAGAGATGATGGAAAATTTATTTAACGTTTTGTGTTCAAGCCTAATGGCTACAGTAAATCGTGATAGATTTCTGCGAGGCGAAGGTCTTCAACTTATGAACTTAATGTTGCGAGAAAAAAAAATGTCACGAAATGGATCTCTCAAAGTGAGTTTATTTGCAACACGTTTTGTTGGATTTATATAAATTATTACGATTGAAATATTATAGGTTTTAGATCACGCTATGAACGGCCCAGATGGAAGAGATAATTGTAGCAAATTTGTAGATATTCTTGGATTGCGAACTATATTTCCTCTGTTTATGAAAACTCCAACAAAAAATAGAAAAAAAATGCTTACTGCAGAAGAACATGAAGGTATTAGAGAATATATATAGTTTCGATATATATTAATATTATTAAATTAATCAATTTTGTTATTTATAGTAAAATAATAAACAGTACTTTTGCAGAACATGTTATTTCAATCATAGCAAGCATGTTGAAGAATTGTAAAGGACAACAACGTCAAAGATTACTTAGTAAGTTTACGGAGAACGATTATGAGAAAGTTGATAGATTAATGGAATTACACTTTAAATATCTTGAAAAAGTAGAAGAAGTGGAAAAGAATGGAAAGGTACGTACACAATTAGAAATATTTAACAGAGATATCTAAAAGCAAAAAGTTTAAAAAACTTGTGTTCTCGATTTTTTATCACAAGGAGGACGAAGACGAAGAAGAGTCTTATTTGAGAAGATTAGACGGTGGGTTATTTATATTACAATTAGTAGATTATGTACTTTTGGAAGCTTGCACTGGTTGTCCGCCTGCAGTCAAACAACGAGTGACAAGAATCTTGGCGCAAAGAAGAGCATCCCTTAAAACAATTCGACACATCATGAGAGGTAAATGACGTATATCTAACGGCATATTTAATCATAAATTTATATCAATAATGTATTCATTCAAATATTTTTTATTTCAAAACTAGAGTACGCCGGTAATTTAGGAGATGCTGGGGACACAGAATGGAAAGAAGCAGAGCAACAACATATCTTGCAATTAATTGATAAATTTTGATATGTATTTTCTATATTAAAATATATTGTTATATATATAATAACGTAATAAGACTTAATAACTTTGTATTATTATGTAATGTACAATACAATAATCATAATAAATATATGTATAACTCCAGACATAAAATATTAAAGTATGTAAAAAATGTGCTATTGATTAAGAGTTATTTAAGGAGAATTTTATTTATGGAGTAGAAAGCTATTTTTATGAAAAACTTGCGATTAATCCTAATCCATTCATAGGTTTGTGTTATCTATAAAAATATCTTATGAAAGACCTAGAGCATTTCATGTCATTCGCTAAATATAATATTAATATAGAGACTACTTTCTGAAATCCAAGGAATCATTATTATCTTTTCCTGTTCGAACATGCGAGTAATTACATGCGTTTTATATAATTGATTAATTGCGAGCGTTCTTGCGAGATTACTAGTAACATTTTTAATTTTAATTTTTACATTGAGATAATAACGCGATAAGGATCGAAACGTCTGTTTGAGGTTGTATATAATTTGATTGTTTATTAATGTTTTTCTCACTTAACATCTAGAGTGGTTCGTAGCTTTTATTATATTAGTTTATTTCTAATATTAATAATAAATGTATAAAAGAAGAAAAATTATTTCATTTTGTGAAAGAATAAATTTAAAAAATATTCTAATATCGAACATTCATTAAAAATTTTTTTTCAATTTTGCTAGATTCGTTCGTATATCGGTCATGATATTCTGAAAGTTAAGATTGTAACCAATCACAGTTGAGCACCCTGAGAATAGGTTAGATTAATGAAAATATAAAGCCGGTGATGATTTGAGTGGAGTGCCGAGAAATAAGTTGTTCCTACATACGGATTTATATGAATAGATTCTATTCTGTATTTAATTTTTTTAACGAGATATACGTGTAGAATAAAATATGGATAATAGTATAACTAAGAATGCAACAATAGGACTTCAAGCAATACAAAGTTATCAACAGATACTTAACAATGTGCTCGTACAGGTATAAACTTATACTTCTCAATTAAATTTTATGCATTGATTTTCTTATTTATATTACATTTGTTACATTAAAAAATTGTAAACTAACTTACATTACAGAAACTTGAACAAAATGAAAAACGAATTAAAGCAATAACAGATTATAAAAAGGGGCACAAAAAAGTAATAGAAGGACTTGAAGCATATCCATTATCACTTTCTGAGAATTGTATGGTACCCATCGGCAAGCTGGCGTTTATGAGAGGAAAATTAATTCATACTAATGAAATCTTAGTTTATTTGGGAGAAGGCTATTTTGTCAAGTATAGTGCATCACAAGCGATTGCATTATGCAATAGGAGAATAGCATGTATAAATATTACATATATCCTTGAAGAAAAACATTTTATTAGATATTACAATTGTTATACGTTTTTATGTTATTAGGGGCGGATGAAATGCTAAAGAGTTTAGAAACTGAAAGAAACTTGTATGAAATGAGACAATATATTCCATTGGAACATGATGTTTTTGGCAGGGACAGAAAAGATATAGTCGAACATTGGACCGAGGATAAGCTTGATGAGTGGAAAGGTACATATAGAAAATTTGTCTTACATTTTTATTTACATTATGTTAGACATTGAAATTAAAATATTCTTTTGCAGTGCAACATAGACAACATGAGAAGGAGTATCGTCAGAAACTAGCAAAGTTGAAGGAAAAAGAAAAGACTAACATTCGTACTGAAGAAGATCTTTTTAAGAGACTCGATGAATTAGAGGTGGAAGAAGAATTAGAAGATGAAATTTACAGGTTACTTAGTTTTATAATTAAAACTTATTTTTAATCTATTGCTTATTGTTTTATACAATTGCAGACTGGAAATCGAACGAAAAGCATATTATGGTGATGACTTGAAAGATGGCGAAGTTTATGATGAATCAGAAGAGGATGAATCTGATTCTGATCTAATTACAACAGAGAAAATTCAAGAAGAATTAAAAAAACTGAAAGATATCCAAATGGGTAGAGTTACAAGTGACACGTCGAATGACAATTCTGATACAGTTCAAGATAAAATCATTGATACAAGTGCTACAAAGAATGAACAGTTTCATTCCTCTACAAATTTTATCCAAGAGAAATTAAGGGAGAAAAATTGTTTACCTGAATATAAGGAAGTGTCTAAAGACACAAATACAAAGGAAAAAAGGAGAATATCATTTGCTGAACCATGTGTCATAGAAGACGAAAGCAATACAAATGAAGTATCAATACCTCAAGAAGTTTGTTCTGCTGTGAAGCAAGATGATATATGTAATGAAAGTTCTGAAGATGAAAATGATGCCATTAAAATTGAATTTTCACATTCATCTCATACTCCAGATATACTTGAATCAAATAATATGGAAATACAAAGTCCAGTAGATATTTATAAAATGTTTAATGCTCCTAAATCGATTTTGAAAAGATCTCCAAATGATATGATTTTTAATGAAGTTGTTCCTCCTTTAAACGAGAGCAATAGTACAGATACAGAAGATGAAGATGAATATGTTAATTATAAATATAATTCTGTAGGTACAAATAACTTGATCATACTATATTATCACGTAGATATTATATATACTAATAAACATATTTTGTAGATGATCAAAGAGAGAGTCCAAGAATGTAAAGCTTCACCTGTAAATGTTTCGACAGAGAAAGATGGAAAAAGAATTGTAAGTAGGTTCAAACTTGAACGAGCTGGAAGAAAGTGATAATTTGTAAATACGTATATTGAAATTAAAAATCTATTTTTATAATACACACATAACTTCCCAAAATTACATTTATATTCCAACTATGTCATTTAAGAAACTATTTTGATTATCAATCTTGTAAAGATTACAATATAATCTACATGCAGTGATGCTTTGAATTTCAGTAATGAGAATTGATTGGATTTCAAATGACATTAATAAGAATAAAATGCAGGATAATGTACATAATATTTACAATATATTTATTTCTGCGATTTCCATACAATAAGTGAGCCATTTAATTTTTTCAATAGGATGGAGGCAGGACATGGTAGTAAATGAAATAGACATAATTACTGTCTAATGTAACATTAATTCTATGTTGAAAACAATCCACTATTTCGCACATCCTTAAGAATATTATATAGGTGCCTTCTCGACCAATTTGAACCAGTGGCCGCATTCACAACGACGTGGAGGACCTTGATGCAACCACATCCAGTTTACATGTAATGAATCCTCATCACAGATGCATCCCATTATACGACTTTCAAATGCACTATATACTATATTGGGATCTTCCTTTGTGCTGATTGCTCGCTTCTTTATGCTCAAATTATATGGATCCTAAAAAGATATAAGTTAACATATATATTTTTAACAAGATATTGATATTCATCATAGTGATGTTTATTAAAAAAATACTAAGAAAAAATATACGCAAGTCTATAAAAAATAATCATGAAAGAAACATGTTCTCATTATATTAATTTCTTATTTTTGATACTTGAAAAGCTTTATCAAGAGCTTCATTTTTCCAAATTTATCACCTACAACATTTCATTAATATTGTGGCATAATAATTATTATATTATTATATAATTATATGTCATTAGTATAATTATTATATCATTAGCACAGCAAAGCCATAGGAAAATGTCCACACAAGCGTGCCGAACTGGAAATGTCACAACTTACATCGTTACCGGCTAAATAGGCGAGCATTTCTCTCTTCTCCAAACCTGTGGCATGATCGAGCGGATCGGCAACTGTCAAAAAAAGAAAAACAGAGATATATGTATGAATCGACCGAATTTTCTTTTCTCTCTCTCTCTCTTCATTACGTGCAATACATCGGCGTGGACCGAAAGTCAAAATCGATGGGCGAAAAATATTACGTAATGTAGATAATGTGAAAACGTGAAAAATCTGCGGGACGGACGATTCGATGATTCGTCTCGGAAGTGATATTTACGTTCTTGTTTCTTTTGGGAGCACGCGAGGCTATAAGAGATCCGCCGTCGACATGTTTGGAGCACGGTACGAGCGCATAACCATGCCATTTTTCAAAATACAGAAGATATTACTAGCCGTGTCTTGGCCCGACTGGGTTAAGTCGTCAGTCTTTCAGTCGCGGATCGAACGATGCGCAGATCGTCTTGCCGAGCTACTAAACGGACGCTAGCGAGGCGCTGCAGGCTGCAATATGCAGAATTGACAAGTGATTAATTTGAATTTCGACTGAATGAACTTAGCCGATATATTGAATAATTATACAGTTTAAAAATATTTAATTTAAATTATCTAAATAATTATTAAATTTTTTAAATTATAATTTATAACTTTTTATACAATACAAACGATCATAAAAAAACTTTGTTTAGTTTATTTCTGTTGATCAATTGCATATATGTAAAAATATGTAATTAAAATTATCTTAATGATTGTCGAGTTTCATAATTACATTTCAAAAATTCATACAACATATAAAATAATAGGAATATTGAAAAAAATCAATTAAATTTATATGAATTTAAAAAAATTTATACATATCTTCGACTTTTTATAGATCGCTTGTATTATTGATTGAATTAAATCACATATATCTATTTTTTTAACTCATTAAGAGCAAACTTACTTTTTTCTTGTGATTACACATTTTTCAATTTAAACTAGAAAAATGTTAAGAATATATGAAGATGCTAAAAAAATAGAAATTTAAATTGTAAAAGGTGTACAAACGTATTTAAGTTAAGACAGAAAAAACAGATTTTATTTACAAAAGAATATTTTTATTATACATATATAACTGTATACATATAAAATATATTTTTTGTAAGCATTTTTTGTTTGCAGTGACATTAGTATAGAAATTTTACTTAGAGTAAAACCTTACCTTTTTCATTAATTCCGATTAACGTTAATCGATGATTGATTTAATCATCATGATTGCCAAAGTGAGAACTAAATACAGTTTGTCTCAAAAGAAGAGAGAGATGTTTTGAAACATTAAACTACTATTAGCACTTCTGAGTTGATCGATTAATTTAATCGAAATTGGTGAAAGAGTCTTTATAGTCTTTTTTTTTCCATATAATAACATCTAATAGAATTTGAAATTCGCGCGAGAAAGGCACAAGTATTCGACATGTGTTGGTAACGCTGTCTCTGATATGAGTTGTGTTCCAAAATTTATTATCAGTATTGAAAATCTGAAGCTTATGTTACATGCATCATAGATTTTTCAGTAAATTTTGGAACATAGCTTGAAGCCGGCTCTTTTCCGTGAAAAGAAGAGATAAGTTGAGGTTCATTCATCTGTATAACATTATATATTTTTATTATAAAGCTTTGAATTTTTTAATAACGCACAGCCGTTAATTGCGTTTGAGCGCGTTCTTTCAGAATAGATGAAAATATATTTCAGTCTACCTATAATTCAATTAACTTTAACTAGACAGCTTAATTTTCAGTGAATATATTTTTGATAAATCATATTTTTAAAGCTACTATATGTACTATATGTACTGTTGTTCTTCTTGGCTAATGAAAACACGGTATCTCTTTAGGAAAACATTAATTAAAGAATTCTTTTATCTATTTGAAAATTATCAAATAATTTTGTTGATCATTGAAAATTTGAAAATTATCAATGATTCGACGTTTAATTGTTGAGAAAAGTTGGTACCAAGCAAAAGTTGAGTCCCAGTAATTATGCTATTAAAATTAAAATCGAACACCTGTAGGCGAACATTAAATACAATTGCGAAAAACAATTCATTAAATATTTATGAACAATCACAAAATATGCACATAAATATTTAAGACATTTGTGATATCCAGTGTATATAATATATAGTATGTATCGAGTTGTGTACGTTTTTCTTACGAAGAATTTGAGAATGTCCAACCTATATTTGTTAGTGTAAAAAATATTATTTGCATTTTTCCCATTGTACTAGATTTGCTAGCAGTACAAACCACTGCCTTGATTCTCAATAATATATTTCGTTAAATATTGTACCGATTTCTCATTTAATTTTAAATTCGGTAACTCTCTTTCAAATTGTTCCAGAGTACCAGCTCCCGCGATGTAACCGTTCAACTTGGCTGCTAGTGAAGACTCACACAAAATTTCTCGTGTGTTGAAGCCCAATGTCTCAACTAGCCATGGATGATTCTGCAGTCGATATTTCTGATGATAACTAGAAAGATACGTAAGTTTTAATTAAATTGGATATGTCTCGTCTTTTATTACATTTGTGCAGCTTAATTTTATTATCTTATTTTTTCTATATTATTTATATATTTTATTATATACTTGTTTGTTAAAATATGCAACTGAATTTATTGTGTCTATCTATGGAAATCCAATAAAAATATTTTTTAAATGCTACCATATAAAAAATATATTTTAAATTGTAAAATTTTAATTATTTTGGATTTATTGTGTGTTATAGCAAATTATCTATTTTATAACTTAACATTACTATTATAACATTATTGTCATATTATTACGTAATTATATCATATCATATAACAATTATATAAACATGCATTTTATCAGTAGTCTAGATTAGTTGATATAAATGTTGGCAGAATACTCCACTCTCTAAAACTTTTAGAATGAATCTCATTCTGAAGAGTGAAATCTTACTATTAAAGATTGAAAATTGAGCTATTCTTTTTCAAGACTCAATTTTCACTCTTTAGAGATTCTACTCCAAAGAATTTAGAGAGCAAGTAATGTTGAGTAATAGAGTAAGAGTACAAAAGAATTAAATTATTGAATAAAAGCAACAACATATATATATATGAGGAAATAAAATGACAATGTCACTTACTCTTCGGCTGGATAAAACTTTGAAAACTTCTGAATTTCTGTGACAAAGACTTCTCCACGCTTCCGCTGTTCCTGCTCGCGAGATTTTTCAGCTTGTAATTTTTGTTCTTCATCATGATATAAAATCAATGACATGTACTGCAAATTAAGTTAATATTTAATATTTAATTTGTATGCAAATGACATGTGAATGATGTTTTTAATTATTTACTACACTAAAATAGAGTGATTTAAGAGTTATAGATAAATTTAGTTTGCGAAATCAAGACTTTGTCCTATAAAAGATGCACTATCTTAGCACACTCCAAAATATAAAACTATATATTTATCATTCTTAAATCATTCTATTTTTTTTACTGTATGTTATGTAGTCAAACATAATTAAAGTGTATTAGCAACATACCTGTCTTTTAATCTTCTTTGTTAGACTATATTCATGATTGTTCCAAAACAAGCTCAATAGATGTGTGTAAGATATTAGTTCTGGATCATATTCGATGTTGATGACCTCGGTATGATCTCCCCTACAAAGTAGAAGTAAAGAATGTCAGAAATGATTTTGTGAACCTTTCAAATTACATTATTATGATGACTGGATGATAGCAATGGGCTATTAACATATTCTTGTATGCCGGAGACTCCTTGATCCCACCAGCGTAGCCAACACAGGTTCTGATGACACCAGGCAGTACTCCAAAGAGGGAATCCCCCGCCCAGAAGCAGCCCATACCGAAAGTGGCAAGCTTGCCTTTGACCTCTTCCAGTTGTTCCGGCATTCTGCTGAACGGACAAACATTGTTACGTTCAAAGATGCTCGGGCAGGTGAAGTGTGTGCCACATTGATACGATGAGATGGAGCAATTGTCCGCGAAAACGGTCCGGACTAAACATGGTAGCATAACAGTGATCATGTGGTGTAATCGCAACATCTTCGACGATTTCGGTTTCGTTTAATACGCTGCCTACTTTCATGGACTCGACGCCACGCTCTGTAATGCTTCCACAGTGGCATGCGTTAAACCGGTATCGCGGACGAGCGATATCGGGTCGGGACAGAGACGAGTTCGCGCTAGAGTCGCCAAGAGGTGGCAGACGAGCGGACGAGCGGGATGAGTGCGAGAGAGGGGGACGCGCACGTGCTGAATGTCTATGATTGCGCGAAAACGTCAGGGAGACGGTTTATCGTGTCGAATGCACGTGTGAGGAATGAAGGTCAGAGAGAAGATCAATTTTCCTATGCTCGACTAATTAAATTAATTGATTGATTTGCGGATCAAATAGCGAGTATCAATAATGTGGATCATAAGTTCTCGGATGTCGTGATCTGGACGTTCGATACGTATTTTTTTTTCGATATTATCACTCGGCTAAATTCCATCTAATTTTTAAGGTCAATTTTAGCAATTTAAAATTAAGCCATTAAATTAAATTTAAATTGTCGAATATATTATTGTACTTAATTTGTAAGAATATTTTTGAAAAAGTATTAGCTTTCAAAGCAAAAATTAATATCTTTTGAATGAATAGATTCACATGTATTATATAAAATAATATATTAGTATTATACTGCTTTGATTTCAATTGTTATATAAATTAATTTAATCATTACTTTGGCTCTTAGAAATTCTTTGCAAATGATATTTGCGAAAGATGAATATTTCTACAACTAATGATGTATCAGCATTATATTATCGTGTTATGTAATTTTTTTGCCATATAATTGCTACTCAACGATAATATAACGATATCAATATTGCCATTAAGACTTCATAGCAGAGTTAAAGAAGTTAATTTAAAAAGATCTTATAATTAATAAAATTTTTGGTATAAATTATGAATTATTTTTGTCAATTTTTTTGTGTTATATTTATGAAACGTTTAAGTTGGCAGCAAAAATTTAAAGCGTGAATTCAAAAATTTGCATGGAACAAGAGAGACAATTTTTGTTCATTCGATAATTGTTTATCTTTACTTAAGATGACCATCCTGTACTCTTTTTTTCCAAACGTGTGTTCTTTATTCGGGTGTCCGGAGATTATCAATGTGTACTCTTTTTTTGTATTTTTGAGACTTGGGAGCGAACGAGGGGAAGTTATTTTGAAAATTATTAAAGTCTCTGTAACATTGTTACACATTAAATATATTAACATATAATACACAGGATAAGTACATAATAAGACATTAAAACCGTTAAACCGATAAGTATCCAACATAAAATTGCCACATTGATTTATATATTATATATAAGATGCTAATTAGACATTAAATTTATTCACATTGCTTGTGCACTTTTTGCACTCAGCATCTTCGCTTTTTCTTTTATCTATCTTATTTTAAGTTTAGACATTTTTTATATAGAATTGTTTTGTTCGTATTGTCTAAATAAATTTAAAAGAAATTTAAAAGGAATACAAAATAATATAGATATCAAATTAAACAATGTTTGTTTTTATTTTACTCTTTGTTTCTTTTATTTTTTTTTTAATTTTCGGTCTTTGTGATAAAATATATATAATATACTAACTTGTACACAAAAGTACTAAAATGTACTAACAAGTACATAAAATGTACTTGTGATAAATGTAGTGTACTTTTGTACTACTTTTCCATGATGGATACTACGTCACGTGCATTGCATCTGGTCACCCTACCTTTACTTAAATTGTTTGTATACATTCGAGCTCTGACATTGTGAGCACATGCTATGTACAACACATATAGTAATGGATATTATTAACTATTTATTCTTTTAAATGAGCTTATTACTTAAGATTCTTTCAAATTTGATTTCAGATAGTGTCTTGAGATAGTCTCCAGTTAGTAAAATCATCATACTTAAGACCGGACATAATGCCCTTCATAGATCTTCAAATTCTTCGCAAAGGACTTATTGATGAAGTTCGAGAGAATTCGAAACCACAATTAAGATTCTAAAATCTCAAAATGATTCAGAATTCCTTGTATATGATTTACACATATTATTCAAAATTTATGATCCCGACGTCCCTATTTTTTTTCACTTAACTGAGGTTTTATCGACATGAAAGAAGAGGATTTACGCTCAGGTTGAAGTATCGAGAAAATATTATTTCCCATTCGCAGAAGATTCGTGGAAATATAATGAAAAATACATAAGTACTTTATATAAATTGATAAAATTTTATGTAATAAAATAAGTTTGTTAATTTGAAGGTTATTTAAAAAATCCCCGCTTTGAAACATTCGAACGCGATTGTTTGAATTATTTACATGGAATTTCACGAAAATCAGAAATATTTAGTAATAGAGCAGAATTTTGTTTTTAAAATTTCGTTTTACCTTAATTTTACTTAAACAGTTAACTCGAATACTCGTGATCGATGTGCTCAGCCGATGATCTATCGAATAGTCGATTGCAGGTTTATACACGATGATGTTTCTTTCTGGAACGAATAGTAAATCCTTCGAGTAACTGGAGTAAAACCGACTGCCGTGTCTACAGACGGCGGTTCGGTTTTTATTCGAGCATGTATGTCTCTCCCCGCCATATCTCTCATCTTATGCTCCCACTTCGTAAACGGTAAGACAACGGTTCGCTCGAGCGTTTCAATAGACCTGAATAGACTCATATTCCTCTCATTGTATGCCAGAATAAAGGATTGACAAAAAAGAATGTATAACATCACATTTTTGAATAACATCAAAAGCTTGTCAACTTAGAAATGACTATAAATATATACTATAGACCTATTCTTTTTAGCTGAACTTTTGCGCCAGTTCATCTTTCTCTTTCTTTTTTCCTTTTAAAGAGAAAAGGAAGAAAGATGAACTGGTGCAGAAGTTCAGCCAAAAAGAATTGGCCTTATAACTCGGATTAAAGCTGATTATAAAATGTATTATGTTACCTTACATATGAATAATAAAAATTTTGAATAATAAATTCAAATTTTTAAGACTTTTCAAATATTATTATAATATTGTTTATTATTCTGGAATTTGTAACCGGCGATTTATTTCATTTTATTAGTATGTTACGAAATATATGTACTTCGAAGTTATTCTAAATGAATTTTAGAAGGAAGATATGGAAGTCATATCTTGCGAAGTTTATTACCAATATCAAATATCTTGGTATACAAGATAAGTTTTCATGCAAAGAAAGATAATCAGTTATACGAATTTTTCCAGTCTTATTTGACAACATAAGAATAATAACTGAGACATATTCAAATTTTATTATAATATCCTGACAGGTTAAAATTATTACAATCGTAAATTCACAATTTTTTCACATCACGGAATTTATTCGCTAATAATTAATATAAATTATAAAATACTTGTATAAATAATAAAAAAACTAAATAATTTATAATAAATAAAAAATTATGGGATAAAAATTTTATTGTGCTAGATAAAGGTATAAAAATATATCATGAATCTGTGACTGTAGAAGCACATTCTTTCAACATAAAAAAAGAAGTTCATAATCGTTATTATATATTATTTACCTAATTTAAATTATTTAAACCGGTTCTTCTATTGAATAAAAAAAGAAGTTGTAGTCACATTTTGATGTAAATTTGTCATGTTCGAATTAGAATACGATTACCCATTGATGCTATGACCCCGTAACTGTTGCATATTTTTGATCGAGGACGGCAGATTGTGATTTCTCACTGATTTCTAAGAAATATTCTGTGTTTTCTTTTTCGATTCTTCATACGTTATTATTTAAAAGATAAAAAGATAAAATTTTTATAAAAGTGAACAAATTAAAACTTAATATATAATAAATATATATTTTTAGACAATTAAAAAATTTGGACCTCGCGATTTGCTTTATTATATTTAATTCGTCAAATATTAAAAAAGAAAATAGATATATGATCATCAATAGATAATCATTTGAAAGATTTGACTTGACATCAAATACTTCAGATGATATATGAAGTACAAATGCATACACACATATGACGGATTGATAAATCGTATATTTAATTAAGTGTGATTATTTGAGCGATTAAGAAATTATTAATACAAATATGTATTAGATTATATATATTTTATCGCGCTGTATAGTGAATCTTGCTCGCTTGTATAGATATATATGGTAGTTTTCTACATATTTAAATAATATGATTCCCGATACGATAAAATTATTTGGTATCGAATATCGAATTAGAGAAACAATTAGCTATATTTATTAAATACAAATAATATATGAAATTTTTATAAATAAAATATATTTAATTAAAAAATTCGCAACGCAAGTAATAATATTGCTAGTCATTGCCATTACTTGCATTGCGAAAGATTCGAGTGATGGCAATGACTGGCAATATTAAAGGTTTGGGGAGACGCTTAGCACTATTAGTGTCATTCTATCTTTGTTTTACGTCTAATAAACAATAAAGACAGAATGACAGAAATAGCGCTAATAACGTCTTTCTGAACGCATCATAAGATATCGTGAAATTATAATAAAATATTTAGATTGCCATTCGTTTGTGAGCGGTATATTTTTAAGAGGTAAAATGTGTGAATGATTTAAACTTAATATAACACGCCGAGGAATAAATTTAATATATAAAACATACAAATATATATATATATACATATATATATATATATATATAATATCAAATAAAATTCAAGCATTTAATATCATGTCTTTATTTATTGCCAATTGGCTCTAATAAGGCTCAATAAAACGTGGTGGTTGCATCAGAAAAGACAAGCGATGCACAGTTGATTAAATCAATTCTCAATTGGCAGTCGACTGATGTAATCTTTCTCTTGTAGCCGCTAAGCCATCGTAGATGTTGGTGTCACTATCACTGTCATTATCAGTCACTCTGGAGTTCCTGACCCGTTATATATCTCGACCCAAGTGGAGTTCTATATTGATAATAAATGAATCATAGAAAGTGTGGCTAAAATAGACCAAATCACTTTAGCGAATAATTACATGCCGTAATCGTAATGTAATAGTATATATATGTAAATTTCATCTTCGATATAAACACAAATTTTTGTACGCACGATAGAAGTAGATTTCAGTAAAATCTGTGTGTGTGTGTGAATAATCGTAATAAATAAATATTAAATAAACTCGCAAATGGTTTATCAGTTTTATACTGAATAGTTTGTTGCCTTTCTAATTCGCGCTTTCTAAATCATAATGTACTAAAAAGTCAATATTTATATGATATATGTATAACAATTTCTCTTGGGAAAGTTAGAATTTTCAAATTGAGCTTATGAAAAGTTAATAAATTATTTTTGCGGATTATATAAGATATGTTAAGTGTACAAAGTATAAAAGATAACGTACACAGTAATTTTATTTTTATATAATTTTACTATATTACAATACAATATAAACAGGTGATA